CACTAAGGAAAAGAATGTATTCGACAACATGAACGACAAATAAATTCCTTTCTCACAATTAATATCAATTAACATCGACTCTTTTTTTTTAAGTGTTTTTTTTTAATTAATATTTTTTTATGAAGTATTGTAAGGTTCACACACAGCAGCAGCGACCCTTGTCTATAATCTGTGTGGGAAACGAAGCCCAATATTGAGGTGTCGGGTCCATCCAGGGGGACAAGGGGGGGGGTAGGGGGGTAGGGGGAGGAAAAGTGGGCAGACGCGCAGGGGGGTGGGGAGAGAGGGGGGGGTTAGAGAGGGTTTGGTTAGGGGAGGGAGAAAGGGGGTGTTCATGATCCGAGTATGATATGTGTGCGTCGGGAGAGCTCCTGGGCCGGGGGCGACGGGGGGGGGAGGGAAAGGGGGCGATGGGGGGGAGGGGCCACCAAGACTAGCACCACACTGGGTTCGCCACCAATCGTGGGTCTCCTTTTTTTCTAGTGTCCCGTATATATACACTCGGGTTAACCATTCGAGATAGAAAGGAAAAAAATCACCTTTGGCAAAACCGCTCTGCAGTTTCGTCCACTCGCGGGGGGGGGAGGAAGGGAGGGAGGCAGGGAAGGGGGTGAGTTTTGTACACCTCGCCGCGAAGTACATCTGTACAAGAAAGTTCTCTGTGTAAACGTTGTAGTTAGGTCAACGCTGCTTGATTTTGTGTTTATTTTTTCTAGTCACACACACGTACACAGACAGATACACGCGTACACACAGCGCTGGGTGTCACTCGAGGACAATCACAAGACGCCGGCGGCCGTCTGCGTCGCCGCAGCCAGAGTCCTTTTCCTTCTGCGGGCGGCGCCGGCGGCCCAGCGGCGGCGGAGGCGAGACGCCTCGACGGAGGTGGGAGTCAACATCGGAGGAGGCGGAGAGAGGAGCGAAGAGAGGGGGGAGGAGCAAGGCGAGAGGGGAGGAAGGGCGTCTCTACACGAGGGACGAGAGCGTGGGTCTGACGGGCGTGGGCGCCTGCACGGTGGTGGTGTAGTTGGAGGAGACGGGCGGGTAGTAGAGGGAGTAGGGCGGCAGGGAGGGCTGCGGGGGCAAGCTGGAGGTCGGGGGCGGCGCGGGCGGCGTGTGGGCGGCCTCCACGCCCGAGGTGGAGCCGTCGTGGTAGAGGATGGGCACGCGGACCAGGCGCTGCGCCGCATGCGCCATGTTGGCGGCCTCCAGCTCGGCCGCCAGCTGCCGCTTCCACTTGTTGCGGCGGTTCTGGAACCAGATCTTGACCTGCGTCTCCGTCAGGTGCAGCGACGCCGCCAGCCCCGCGCGCTCCGACGACGACAGGTAGCGCTTCATGTCGAAGGTGCTCTCCAGCTGGAACACCTGCGACCGCGAGAACACCGTCCGCGTCTTCTTCTTCCGCCGCTTGCGGTCCTCGTCGGCGTCGTCGGCGCCGCCGCTGGCCGTCGTGGCGCCGCTGCTGGCCACTCCGCCCGAGCCCTCCGACTCGCCCGCCCGCGCGTCTTCCCTTGACGGCGTGGGCGGCGAGGGCGGCGGCGAGGGCGAGCGGGGCATGGGCGAGGGCGAGCGCGAGCGAACCACCTCGACGGGCGCCTCGCTCAGGGGGCTTCCGGGGCCTGCGGGCGGAGACCCTGCAACAGAAAGGCGCTCTTAGCACTCGCGGCCAAACACGGCAAAGGAAAACAACAAAACGCTGTGGGAATCACGGGTTGAAATAATGGTGGGGGGAAATGCGCACACAGGCGCTCAAACGGCGTAACAATAAAAAATAACAAACAAAAGAGAAATGAGTGCATGGAGATAAAAATGAAAGTCAGTCACAACAGAAGCAGAAGTAAAAATCGATGGAATGGCAGTTGTGATAACAAAGACGAAAAAAAAACAAAAACAAAAACAAGACGTCCGATTAATAACACTGAAAGAGAGACGTTAGAAGTCAACAAAGATTCAAATGTTAACATAAAACGTTGCCTTTGTTTATATGTTGTAATTTGACAACGCTTGCAAAAAAGGGAAAGAAAAATTATTCTTTTCATTATTTTGTGATCTCTCTCTCTCTCTCTCTCTCTCTCTCTCTCTCTCTCTCTCCCTCTCTCTCTCTCATCCTTTATTAAAACACCAAACACTCTTCCCTCATCTCCACTCCTTTAGTCTTAAACTTTTCATTTTTTATTTTTCTCCCTTTTTCTCTCGAACATACGCCTCTTCCCTCATTCATTCCGCCGCCCCATTCCTCAAACACTCATTTCCAAACTCCCGTTCATCTCATCTCCCTCCTGTTGGCCCCTCTCTCTCGAGTTTCCCCTCTTTCTCTCGCTTCCCCTCTCCGTCGCATTTCTCCCTCTCTCTCTCTCTCTCTCTCTCTCTCTCTCTGTCTCTCTCCTATCCCTGTTCTTTTTCTCTCTATATCTCCCATTCCTTCTCTTTCCCCCCACCTTTCTCTCTCTTTCTCTAAATTCCTTTTCCCTCCATCTCTCCCTTCCACCCCATTCCTTTTCTCATTCTCATTCTCCCTCTCTCGCACCCATTCCCTTTCTCTCTTTCTCTCTCCCTCCCTCCCACCCTCACTCTCTCCCTCCCATTCCTTTTTCTCATTTCTCCCTCCCTCCCCCAGCCCTCACTCTCTCTCTCTCCTCCCCATTCCTTTTCTCTCTCTGCCCCCCCCCCCCCCTCTCTCTCTCTCTTTCTCTCCTTCCCCTTCCCCCAATCTCTTCCTCTGTTGCTCGTCCCCTCTCTGGCCTTTTGTATGGCGGTGTTGTGGGACGGACAATAGAGAGACCGCGTTTTACGTGATTTGCATATGAGCAGCATCACTCGTTCCCTCTTGCAGATAATAGAACAACTGGCTCCTCATCCTCCCCTCCTCTTCCTCTTCCTCCTCTCCTCTTCCTCTTTATACTCCTCCTCCTCTTCCTTTTTTTCTACTCTTTTCTTCCTCTTTATACGCCTCCTGTTTCTGCTCTTCTTTTTACGTCACTTTTCCTCCTCTTTTTTTCCCATTAATTTCCTCTCTATCCTCCTCCTCCTTTTCTCCCTCTCTTCTCCTTCCTCCTTTTCACCCAATTCCCCTTCCTCCTCTTTTTCCAAAAAATAAGAATAGTTTTGATAAATGCGTTTCTTTTTATTCGCGACTATTATTGCATTCGCTCAATTGAATGTGCTTTCCCTACATTAGCGAGTTTTTTTTATGGATGAAGTGAAGTTACTTCGGGGAAAATGCACATAAACATTTCCCCAGGCAAAGATCTGCATTACGGAAGACACTCCACCAAAAGAGAAAAAAAAAACGAAACAAAAAGAAAAAAAGAAAGAAAAAAAACTTTGGCGTAATACGAGCTCATCAAATATTAAATGCACCTTACTTTGGTACAAGCTGCGTTCGTATTCTTACGGGCCAAGGCTTTAATCCACCTGAAAATGTCTGATTACAGCGAATCTCTATCGCGCGCCAGCAAAAGTATGGGCGCGTTTCCACGTTTCCGAACGCGATGGGAAAGTTAAAATGATAAATGCTATTCTATATATATATGTATATAAAGTCGATGTTCGTCCGTGTCAATTACCGATGTTCGACACACGCATACACCCACGAGCACCAAGCGAAACATCGGATTCGAACAGCTTTCAATCCGAGACAGAGGTAGTAGTTTAAACAGCTCTTCGTCAAATCTCTCCAATGTAACACAATCCTCCCCATTGTTCGGTCGCGGCGTCGACTTCGGCCTCGCGAATGGAGCACTCATTTCGCTCCCCCCCGACTTCTAATCACGATCTACCACTCTAGAATCATAATGTTCGCCTCTTTCGACCGTGACGTCACTCAAATCGCGCGAAAAGGAAACGAATACCGCGGAAAAAGGCGTGCGTCGCTGTCGAAGCCGTCGGGGAAGGCAAACGGACGCGGAGGGGCTGCCATTACTAGGATTAATCCGCGTAAGTGCCCATTGTTCGCCAATCACACGCTGTGGGAGGCACGCCAAAGGAAAAGGCGCCAAAATTCAAAAAGAGGAAACTGTCTTTTGATCGTATGCTCCACAATACTATCGCTTTGATGTCAGAGTGGCATTTAGGGAATTCAAAACTGCAATTCATGCTCATCTGCTTCCACCTGAATGATAATCCTTAATGAATGTGCGTGATAATTTTTTTGCTTCTTTTCTTTACGTCTGTCATTTTTTTCCGGCAAATATAAACTACGATTTAATATTTTAATAGTCTTCCTTCTCTCTTTCTCTCTCCTTCTGTCTCTTTAAGATTGTGTGTAATGAGTTGAATGGAATAACGCTAACACACACACATCCGCACGTTCGCATTCACAGACACACTCCGCACACACACACACACACGCACGCACAGACACATACACGTACACACGCGCGCGCTCTCCCGCCCTCAGATAGCAACGTGGCCGCGTCTTCTATCTGCCATCTCTAATACGCAGAGAAAACCCCAACCCGCTTACTGCGAATCGCTCCTCAAAACCGCTACGTAGCGCTAACCAACCGACTCGCTACCGCTCGCTCGCCGCTAAACACACGACGCCCTTTGACGGAACGCTCAAGAAATGATTCTTTTCCTTTCGAAGATATTCATTAAGAGGTGACAGCATCGAGGCTTGTCGCCGCGAGGAATCATTTCCTGTTCGTTCTTGGCGGCGGCTGATAAGGTCTCCCGTAGCGGAGACTGCGGGAGATGAGCGCTCGAGAGTTTCCTTCTTGTTTTCACATTATGTCAAATAGCCACTTTTATCGTCGACGAGGAGGGGGTGGAGGGGCGGAGGAGGGAGTGAAGGGGCAGAAGAGGGGGGGGGGGGTGGAGGGGCAAAGGGAGGGAGTGAAGTGGCAGAGGAGGGGGGGTGGAGGGGCGGAGGAGGGAATGAAGAGGCAAAAGGAAAGGGTGGAGGGACAGAAAAGGGAGCATAAGGAATGTATGGGGATGAAGGAAAGGGTATTTAAAGGGGGGGGGGGAGAGGAATAGGGAGAAGTGGGCGTGATAGACGTGTAGGGGAAGGTGTCTGGAATGGGAATGGGAGGGGGGGAGGGGGAGAGGAAGCATTGCAAGTGCACATTATTACTTTCTGTACAACTATTTTCTCCTTCTTATCAGTCTATTTCTCGTTATTCGTTTATGTTTCTTAAATAAACGGTACATAAATATAATTATATCGATGTAAGTATTGCTTGAATATAGCCTATAATACTTATATATGCAAATTGCTATTGCTACATGTTGCTAAGTAGGCAATAATAAAGACGATAATACTGATAAGGATAATGCTGATGATAATGAAGATAATAAGAATAAGAATAATAATAAGAAATTATGATACTATCAATAATAATAATAATTATCAAAATGAGGATAATATTAATATTATTAGCAATGATAATAATAACAATAATAATGATAATAATAATAATAGTAAACATTAGCAAAATAATAATACTGATACTAATAATATTTGTAATGATGAAGATGACAACAAAAACAATAACAATAATGATGATGATGATAATAATAATAATAATAATAATAATAATAATAACAACAAAAATAACAATAACAACAATAACAACAATAATAAAAGAACATCAAACACCCTTTACCCACACATATGAAACTCGACTCGACATTTCATTCCTAAGTGACGTATTGCCGCTTAGAAATTCGTGTTTCTTTTTTCCTTTTCATCTCTGCAAAACCATCAACGCTCACATACGTCTAAATATCTTCATCATTAATTCTCGCGTCCCTAATTTCTTTCACTAGTTTGTGCGAATAAGAAAAAAAGAATGAAATAGAGAGAGAGAGAGAGAGAGAGAGAGGGAGGGAGGGTAGGGTAGGAGAGAGGGAGAGGGAGATAAAAAGAAAGAGATAGGTAGGCACAGAGAGAGAGAGAGAGAGAGAGAGAGAGAGAGAGAGAGAGAGAGAGAGAGAGAGAGAGAGAGAGAGAGAGAGAGAGAGAGAGAGAGACGTAAAATAGATAAATAGATACTCAGGTACACAGATATAGATAGATAGGTAGACACACAGATATAAAGATTGATAAATAGAGAGAGAGAGAGAGAGAGAGAGAGACAGACAGACAGACAGACAGACAAATAGATGTGAGAGACAAGCAATAAGAAATGCGAGAAAAAATAAATAAAAAGAACAAACAGCGAACCAGAAAGAAAGAGAGAAAAAGAAAAAGAAAGAGAGAGAAAGAGACAGAAAAAGAAAGAGAAAGAAAGAGAGAGAAAGAGAAAGAAAGAAAGAGAAAGAGAGAGGAAAAAAAAGTCAAAATAGATGGCCAGCGATCTTGTGGAAATTGCCATCACTGCAGTCTCGGACCATTTCTAAATTGACACATCAAAAGTTGGCCGACTCACCGAATGAAAAGTGTCAGGGAAAATAGCGAAGCGGGGAGTTTTATTTTGGCCATCCAATCTCAATGAAACGACTCGGAGAACCCCCCTTCCCCCTCCCTCTACCCCCTATCCCCCTATCCCCAGCAGCCCCTCCCTTCCTCCCCTTTCCTCCCCTCCCTCCTCCCTCCCCCAACGCCTACCCTCCATCCCCCCTTTCCCTCCCTCCTCTCTCTCTCTCTCTCCCTCTCTCCTTCCTCCTCTTCCTCTCCCTCCTCCTCCCCCCCTCCTAGCTAAACCTCCCCACCTTCCCCCCCCCCCACACTCCCTCTTCACTCAACCTCTACCTCCTCTTCGCACCCTCCTACCCTCCTCCCCCTCCCCCTCCCTCCCTTCCACCCTCCCTCCTCCCCTTCCTCCCTCTCTCCCTCTCCCTTTCCCCCCCTCCTCCCTCCTCTCCCTTTTCTCCCCTTCCCCTTCCCCCCCCTTCCTTCCCTCCACCCCGTTTGAAGGTGCATTAAAATCAGACAAAACTGATTTCTTGATGTCTGAGCGTACCGTTTGTGTGAGGCTTTGAAGCCAGCGATTTCCTTGATTGAAGTCAAACAGCAGGAGGGACAGCGAGGGCGAAAACCTAACAAGAGGGAAGATGAAGCTTACATGCGAGGAAGAGGAGGAGGAAGAGGAGGTGGAGGAGGTGGAGGAGGAAGAGGAGGAGGAGGAGGAGGAGGAGGAAGAGGAGGTGGAGGAGGAGGAGGAGGAGGAAGTGGTGGAGGAGGAGGAAGAGGAGGAGGAGGAGGAGGAGGAGGAAGAGGAGGTGGAGGAGGAGGAGGAGGAGGAGGAAGTGGTGGAGGAGGAAATGGTGGAGGAGGAGGAGGAGGAAATGGTGGAGGAGGAGGAGGAGGAAGAGGAGGAGGAGGTGGTGGAGGAGGAGGTGGAGTAAGAGGAAGAGGAGGAGGAGGTGGAGGAGGAGGAGGCGGAGGAGGTGGAGGAGGAGGAGGAGGTAGAGAAGAAGGAGAAGAAGGAGGAGGACGTAGAGGAAGAGGAGGGGGGGGGGAGAAGAAGAAGAAGAGGAGAAGGAGGAAAAAAATGAAACAGGAATAAGAGGAGAAACTAGAAATTGAAGAGGAAAGAGAAGAATAGGTAGACG